AATATTTTACTGTGAGTTTTCAAGCCCGTATGACACTGAAATATGTCTATTGGTGGAATTATCATAGCTATTAACAGCAGAGGGAGCTTCAGTTATGCAAATTACAATTACAATGGAATCACGGTGTTTCTGCCTTACTAACACAATTAATGTAAACATAGATGTATCCTTCAATCACAGTGATAAAGAATGATTACAATTGTATATTTTCATAAGGACAGAAATATGCAGAAGCAAGGATGACTGAAGTACCAGGAACGAAGTTAGTGTACAAATTTATTTTTTGTTTGTTACAGTGGTTTAAACCAAAGCAGAATCATGGCTGGTTTTAGAGAAAAAACTAAGGCAAAAATGAAAGACCTCATTATTAAGATATTAATAAACCTGTAAACATGGCTTTCGGGTCAGTGATATTTTCTAAATATTTCCATATAAAGAAAGATGCAACAATTAAACTGATAATTACAAAAAAAGTCACATTCAGCATCAAATTCTCTGTAAAGGTTGTGCCAAATGTAAGATTTTCACTTATACCAGAACATCCTCACAGCTAGCTTCAGGGACTTCTGCTAAACCGGGTAAAACCAGGTTGTCACACAAAATGCTGATGCTTTGTCAGTTATGTCATCTAGGGTAATTCAGCTGTTTGACGAAAACATTACCATCTCATGGAATGTATGTCATTCCCATGGTTACGGCTGTACAGCCTGTCAAGTATTTTGTAGACTAAGTCAAAAGGCTTAGAGCAGAATAATGCAGAGGGTTCTTTCTCCAAAACAAACTTTGCAGCTATGTAATCTCTCTTCTTGTGCGTTTGTATGTGTTTGGGTTTTTCAAGTTTACTGAAAGCAACCCAATACCTTGAAATCTCACTCTATGGATTTTTAGAAAGCACTTTAATATATCATGTAGATTACTGCTTAAAAGAATGCATTTTCAAACACAAACTGTCATAAAATCTTTGGGTTGTAGTTTTGTCTTTATTTTGGCAGTCTGGAATGTAAGTGAGAGAGGTTAGGCTAACAGAAATGTTTGTCCAATAGGAAAGAAAATGTAATTTAGAAAGTTTTTTCTTAGTATCAAATGCATCTATTCAGTAAAAGGTTTGCCATATAAATTACATTTATCTGAGCTATGCTATATAGATTAGATATATAAAAAATGCAGTTAGCTTTTAAGAGTAATAATTGATGATAAAACTGCTGCTGCGTTCTCTGGACATCAATAACATCTATGTTATTTTAATCTATCTTATAAGAGCCCTCTACATGCTTGCACAGATCTGAAGTACAGGGAGAGACATCACATGCATGACCTATTTTTTATTCATCTTTTGTGTATCGGCAGCAGCTGTGGCTCCATACTGAGTTAATAATCTTATTTTAAAAAAACAAAACTCCGATCTTGAAATTGTGTCACACAATTTAACATAATTGCAGATCTTGTCAAATAGTGCTATATGCGGAATTTCTTTGATGATGTACAATAGAAAAAAATACGTTTTGTTCTGCAGTTATCACAATGTGTTGTATGAATAGTAGTCATATTGATGGTTTAGGTTGGGGCTAGTGAGTATAACTCTGAAATTCAATCTTCTAAGAACAAACAGGGGGCAGAAAAATGTTTGACATCCCAAGATGTAATTCACAGCAATCTTCAGAAACTACACACCACCCTGAGAGTATCATCCTTAAAGTGAAAAGTGATGGTGGCAGCATATTTTGGAGATATTTTTCTTTAGCAGAGACAGGAAAGTTGGAGTTAGATAACAGAGCAAAGTACACGACCAAACTTGACCAAAATCTGGAGGAATCCACAAAACTCTGATCAAAGGTTTTTCCAGCTGGGGTTTCTAAATTGAAACACCAAAATTCTGGCACCCGAGTACAAGGTGTGGGGCAATATGAAAAGCTTAGGTTATAAACTATTTATTGAGTTTTGCTATGTACAGTAGGGGTCAATTACAGAGACAAGTACATGAAAGGAGCAGACTCTGTTGCTTTTAGGAGAAAATGGGCAGGCTGTAGTGCTGAAAGATGCAATGACAAAGTCAGAGGAGCAGACAAGGGATCCCCTGCCCTGCTGCCCCCAGCATGAGCCACTGGAAGGCGCTGAAGAAGCACCAGGAGGCACTTGTGACGTCTGGGCTTTGGAGTGTTGGAGATAGGCATAAGATAAGGTGGGAGACACCAGGGCTGGAGTGGGGCTGAGGTTCCAGACATCCTGAGTAGAATTTTATCTGGTGCATGGTTCTAATTCAAAGGGTCAAGCTCATATTGATTCAATAAAATTGCATTTCATTTATGCAAATTTTTATAGCAATCAATTATAGATAATGAACGCCCAAAAATGTGTTGAAAAATTACAGGATTTTGAATCAGAAAACGTTAAATCATAGCAAGCATTTTTAATAGAGGGTTAAGTGTATGGAAATATGTAATATATAAAAGCGATGAAACAACTAGAAAAATTGCATCCACCATTTATCTTCTACCGCCTGTCTGTCAGGGTCACGGGTGGCTGATGCCTTTTTCCAGCAATCTCTGGGCAAATGGTAGGGTGTTATATGTGTATAGCTGCTTTCCCATTTAAATTAGCGGGTTGACAGGTTTTTTAAATGTGGGTTGACTCACAAAAAATCGACATTTGGCTCCTTTAATGGTTGATGCTCTGCTGGCCAGCTGTGCGGCTTCTGTCCCTCGCTGCTGTGTTAGCTTTGATGATGTCAGATTGCGACAGATATCAGGAAAGTAAATAATGTAGAGGAACATGCAAGGGAGCAGGCGCATAATCAGTGTGCTTTAGTGTTTTGCTCTGGTTCGATGTTGTGATGTACATACGTTGCCCTCTGGGGTATCGCACAAATTAGCGGGTCTTTGTGGGTCTGGTCTGGACACTGTATGCCAACTGGAGCTGAGCCGTTTGAAGACCCATGTCACTTGCCGAGTTGTTTGACGCAGGTCGTCAGTGAGACGTTCCCACTAGTGCTACAAACTGATTGTTCCAGGGTTTAAACTTTTTTCTTTTTTTTTGCAAATATTGCAAACCCAGTTTTAAACATCTTTTCAAAAATCTAAATATTATTTCACCTTTCACTTTTCAACCAAATGTATATGTTGTTTGGATGTATGTAAATCATGTCATCCTTTCAATGTCTTTTCAACCAATTTTTGCTTGCTGGGTCCTTCTCGGTCTCGACATCATCCCAGGTCGCACCACGCTCTTTTGAACCATTTACTGTTAATGATCTAAGAATAAGTTTGCATTGTGAGCAGGAGGACAGATCTCTGAATTTCAAAGCTGGACACGCCAGAAAACAAAAAGACTGTAAATAGGAGATGATGCCATCTGCTCATGCACTTTTGTTATCAGAGAACTAAGCCACAGATGAACTGTGCCGAGCCCTAATGTTGAACTAGTACTAGATTTAGCGGGGTTCGGTTGTGTCTCGCAAGGTCCAGTTCAGTTCTATTTACACTCAACAGTTATCATGTTTAGTGTGGTTGTACTATTCGCTGCAAGGTTTCAAAAGGACAGTATAAATGTGATAACATAATGACTAGCTACAGAGGCGTATCTCTCAGTAGACTGTATAAATAGCCACCATTCAACAACTTAGGCAGTACAGTCGTTTTTGAGACGAATATTACTTGGTCTGTTTTTTTGTTTTTTTCATTTTTACCTTTGTTGCACCCATGAGAAAATGCTTGCCCCACCCTGGTGCCTAGGGTTGGAATTGAAAAGATTTTCACGATTCTCATTCCCTTATCGATTCTGTGAAACGATTCATTACTGTTAAATTACTGTTAAATTTCGGGAAATAAATTTAAATCCCCCTGATTTAAATAAATGACCGTCACCTTTCTCTCGCTCCCTAAACTGCGGAGCAAATTCGTAGCATGTTTCGTTATATCCATTGCAATAGCTAGAATCATGTAAGAATTCCATCTGCCAGTAGTTCTAATTAAACCTGCTAGCAATGAAGGGCTGGATTTAACCCCAAAGAGAGGTAGGAAATAGGTTTATTTCCAGAAATGGCATATGATTTACTAGGAAGCACATGTGATATAAAACTAGCAACTTAGCATCAGAGTTGCCTTCCATGCAGGTCGTAACTTTAGCTTCTATCTGGAAAAAACATGGCATTCGTTCAAATGTATGCCATGTTGTGTGCAAAGGTGTTACTGCATGTTGGATGTATTGCAAAGCGCCTTGTTGCCATCTTTCTCTGCTTTAAAATTAAGTCAAACTTTTGATGGCTTAACCCGATAGGACGGCATTTTTTTATGTTTGCTTTTCTAGACTTATGCCTGGTCACTTGCTTACTAAATGCCATGTGCGTAACAAACGTGACGTAAGTCGTGCTGCCCAGCGCTAGGCTCTGGTGCTGCCTGGAACAGAATCGTTAAGCGACCTGCCAAATGGTGCCATGGAATTGGAACATATAGAACCAGTTCTGAAGGTAACCGGTTTTCGATTTTCATCCCTACTGGTGCCCCTGGTAAATTTTGACCATTGACAATAAAAAAAAATAAAAATAACATCCCAAATACTCAGTTCATGCAGTTTAAATGTAAAAAAAAAAAAAAAAAAATACTAAAGTGGAAGTTGAAGTGAGTTTCACTTTAAGTATTTGAGTACCTCTGCAAAACAGTTGCAAAGTTTGCTTGTCCATAAGTCTGGCTGTGTTGCCACTGATCCATGATTTATTATGAAGGTTTTCAGAACTTATTTGCAGAAAATCCCCTTTGGGAAAAATATATATTTCTTTCTGATCGAAGAAATAATCGCAGAAGTTTTCCTTCAGATGCATCGGCGTAGTCAGAAGGCTCCATTTCTATAAATGGACGGACTCTTTAATTTCTTTATGAGGAGATAAATAGGGGGCGTTTCTTCAGTCAATATCTTTAATTGCTCCTGGGTTGTATCAATACCTACCGGTTTTACTGCTCCATCACGAGCCACTGGGAACGGGTTGCCCGGGAAACGGCCGCATGGCAACAGGATCAGAGCCTGGGGGTTGTCTGCTTCTAGGTCTGCTCCCATTTTACATCGCATTTCCTCACTAGATGGTGTGCAAGCCACTGGAGAGAACACTTCCACCGCACTGCGAGCTGCACATCCAGCTACACAAAACCTGGGAAAACTACAAACCACGGAGTTCCAAAGCGGACGAGTGTGGAGTTAAAGAAAGCCCTCCGTGGCGTTTTTTCTTTAAATTCAAAAAAAGAATCTTTTTGTGGGGTAGCAATAACACTTCGGGAAGAAAAAGGCGAACAGAAAGCAGCTGTGATGGACATAATGATTGCGGTGCAGGATGCTGCTTGTGTCTCCGGTCAGTGGTTTACTGCGATCATTTTCAGCCTGTGCTGCTTCCTGCCGTCCTGTTTGCCAGCCGGACAAACTGTGGACTATTCCTCGGTGGAGAATGTAGTGAGCAGACAAGGCGACACGGCTCTGCTGAGGTAAAGGAAGCAAACTTCACTTTCCACCGCTCTCCTCTCATGCCTTTCTGCAAAGTTAAACCCCGAAACTCCCACACTTCCCCACCTTTCTATGTGAAATGTCTGTTTATTACTTTTTTTAAGGCGATATCCGAACAATGGATATGTTTCCCTCCATTTACTCGTTGTTTTTCTTTACCCCCCCCTCCCTATGCAGGACGCTTGAACAAGTGCATGTCGACTAATAAAAGTTTTCATTTGTAGTTTTTCCTTTGAACGCAACATTTTGCAATAATTTAAGTTCTACAAGAGAGGTGTTGAGTTGTTACCTTTTCGCTGGAAATGCACACTTCGCTTTGTGCTTTCCATGGCTTATGTAATTGGATGACATTATATTTGCCTGATTTCCACCGCTTTGAAGGACTATATTAGAGGGACAATAAAAAAAAAAAGAGTCAGATTTGCTGTTTTGGGAGCTGCGTGTGAGGTTTAGGTGATTGCACAGAGTGATGTCGCAGTTTCTAAACCGAGGGAAGAACAGTGTATGAGTGGCCGCTGCTGATCTGAATCCAGTTATGGCTATGACGCGATATCTCCCTCCCCCCTTTGCCTCCTTCCATCCCTCCATCCGCCTTCCCTCCATCAATAGGTGCCAGCTGCACAGGTAGCTGCTCATTAAGGCTTGAATTAGCACCTCTGGGTGCTGTTCGGCTCCACTGCACACATTTTGGTGATCAAGAATCCAATTAGCAATAAATAAATAAACAAAATGTACTTAATATTGCATTTTTACATCTTAAAATCATTCAAATAATAGGGGTTACTCAAAATAATATGCAGAGGCGTAGCCAGAAATTTTTTATAAGGGTGGCCAACAACCAATGTAAGCTGAGGGGGGGTTTTGAAAGTGGATCGGCGCCAGAACCTCACCCCCAGATTCCACATACTCCGCCCCGCTAACGTGCGTCGTGCGGAGTAATTGGCTACATTCACACTGCAGCCTGAAGTTACCCAAATCCGATTTTTTTGCCCATATGCGACCTGGATCTGATCTTTTCATGGCTGTCTGAACAACACAGATCCGATTTTTCCCAATGCGACCCAGGCCACTTGGCTATATGGTCCTGAATCCGATACTAATCTGATCTTTTCAAATGCGACCTGTGTGTGAACGGCCAGAACGCCATTAATACCCGACAAACGTCACTATTATGCGTCTTGCTATGCAGAAGCGGCAAGAAAAACAATACCCATGGCAAGTGATGATGCGGCGTGCAGTATTTATGTTTAACCATATTGAAAAGATTGCGTTTTTATGGTTGGAAAAGACCGCTAGATGCGCGCCGGTACTACCATCCATGTTTACTTCCGGAAAAAAAAGAGCACGCTGGCCTGTGATGTCATTGCGTCATCTACTGCGCATGTATCCTCTTTAAACCCACCGCGTCGCCGGCAACCCTAAGGGACCTTAAGTGGGGGTAATAATTCAGAATGCATAAAATTCCACCGGTAAAGTTTTTACCAGCAGGTGGAGCCATTGCACGCAGCTCTAAGCTGACACCAAAAGTTCCAAAACCCACAGCTCTCGAACTGTTATAGCCAGAGGTCTGAAATTTTCTGCATTTTTTGTTGACATGATGTAGAACAAATATAATGCAATAAAACCTGCTTTTTCTCAAGAATGTCTTTATTACAGCTGTAGACCTATCATTTCTGAAAATAAAAAAACAACAACTTTGAGTCATGTTTGAACTTATGCAGATTGGTCTGTGTTCTACTCACCCAATTTTAAAGCTAGAGGGTGTTGGCTTTTAAATAATGTATTGCACATTTAATTTGGGATTACAGTACGTAAGTTATTTGCTTTTCCATTTGGGTATGCAAAATAGGCAAGGATTACCCAAAATGAGGTGGATGTTAAGAGGATATATTAATGAACGGTCGGTAACTAGAAATTATAGAATAATTCTTATATATTCCAAAAAACTAACACCGTTTATTTCAAAGATTGGATGCAAACAAACTATTGGTTCTTCAACATACCACAGGCAGATTTCTCATCTCCATCAAAATATTGATTTTATACTGATGGGCTTGAAAGTTTAATCAAATCCAGTCAAAAGAAACTTCATATTGTAGGAATGGATGAACAGGTGCTGAGTTCGGAAGTAGAGAACAAAAAAGTTTATAAAAAGGGAGTTTTGGATGATCCTAGTTATCCCTGTTACAAAAATCTACAATAAAAAGAAAATATTTGGGCAAAAACTGCACGTTTAGAAAGTGATGTTTTTTTTTTTTTTTTAATGCATCATATTAAATTAAGCATTCATTACCGCATGTTTTGCTCCTATGAATTTAATAATAATATCGTGCATGCTCTCCTCAAACTCCGAGGAAGTCGGAGCGGATCAACACGGGAGGAACAGCGGAGGCTGTAGGCTTCGCTTTGCGCAGGCGTTCTGGAGCGCAGTGGGGTGGTGACGGAGGATGTGGTATTTCGGGGTAAGGGTAAAGCCACAGATAAGGCAAACTATACTTTCCTACAGTTTTTTTTCTAACAAATAAACGCATGTATTTAAACATCCATGCTTTCTAAATAAGAGGTATAATAGATAAAATTCTTTCAGATTAACCAGTGTTTTTGTTGTCAATTAATTATCAATATATATATAAAAAAAATGTAATATACGAAAAATTTTAATGTTTTGAATATTCCACTTGAGAGTATTAGGGCAGCCACCATCCATATTAGAGGAGGGAAAAAATGGTAGGGGTGGCCAAAGATTGGCTAAGGGTGGCCATTGCAACCCCTGGCCCCCCATCTACCTCCGCCTCTGATAATATGGTGATATAGCTCCCTTATCTCCTTTATCAGTATAAAGCTGAGGGGACAGTCTTATCTTTATTTAAATATGAAATTTTCAGATGTTGACTTTAAGAGGTTCTGCATTTGGTGCCAAATACAGAACAACCAAGCCAACTTTACTTTTAGTCGTTGTTGATTGATACTTGATTGTTAAACTGCTGCGGTGCATTTATGGTACAGGGGGGATCGTTGGCTGCTACTCTGAGATGTATCATAATATAAGGAGAACAAAAAAGGATCCAAACCTACAGCAAAAGTAATTGAAAGCAATAGAAGTTTGCTTGATATCAGGAGGTGAAGAATGGGGCAAGATGTTACACAATAATGGGCTCTGGGCACCTTGTCAATTTCATAAAAAAACCCACTAAGATTCTCTTTTCCAATAGCTTAAAGGCTTTGTAAATCTCAAAATTAGTTTCATTGAATAACCTCGGTCAAAGGCTGTATTTGCAGTTTTGATCTGCTTTGAATTTTTTTTTAATTAATTTACAAATGTGCTGAAAGGAGGCTAATAATGCAGAGGATTACATTTGCATCAGTTATAAGCGAAGGTAGCAAGCACTTTGTTAGCAGCTGAGTCTAGTGTCATTTCTGCCTCACTCCTAGTCAGTGGGGCTATTCCGATAGGATTTAGTCATTTGCATATTGTCTTCATCTTTTTTTCTATCATCCCGAAATAGAGCTACATAGGCAATTTAAAAGTGATGTAAGCTTCTTCATAGCCGATGTAACTGACCAAGTCCAACAGGGAGTCTTTATTAATAGACTCTGTCAAAAACCCTATCAGCAACTTGAGAACTACACCCTTTGTTTCTTCATATTAATGGTGCAGAGAGGTCTAAAGCACTCAGTTTTACATTTGTTGCTGCTTTTATTGAAAAGTTAGCATAAAAAAAAAAAAAATTAACAGTGCTTCACTGGGCATACTTTAATTTGAGTAGAAATATTGCCGCAGTTTAATCCCCAGCTCGCTTTTTTATTGTTGTTTGACTCATGCTTAGAAGAAGAATCAAAATACATTCCAGGTTACAACTTTAGCTTTTTTAAAATTAAAATTGTGCTTTTTATTTTTGTAATTCTATTTGATGGCTATAAAGAGAATCAAAGAAAAAACAGCAATGTCCCTCCCTCACGTGTTGCTGCACACTTCCAGGCAGCTGGCTGAAACAGATTCAAAATTCATGAAAAACCTTACGAGTTTGAAATCTTGGGTTAGAACCTTCTTTTTACTCTGAAGAGCAGAAAAAGAAACAAAGGTACAATATGCGACTCGACACTCATTTGAAATCTCCTGCTTGATATAACGTTTTTTTTTTTTCTTTTTTGGCCGATTTCTATATATAAAATTGAAATTTGTAAAAAAAAGCATATCCTCATGGTATGAAATCAAAAAGTTGTCATACCATGATAATCTTATTCATTTCTACTCCTAGTTCTGCCCCTGCTAAAGGACTTAGACCTGTCACAGTCTTTTCAAGAGAAAGTCTTTCTTCCTACCGATTGATCTGTGTCGACATCAGTGGGGAAAGTATTCAGTCAAAATTCTGACAAAAATGCACACATGCAATAAGTCCTTCCCTGTGCTGGTGGCTTGCTTTGTAGACCTGTGCACTCATGTCAGCTTTTGTCTGTTTGAGGGTAAACCAAACTGTTAAAGCAGACTGCCTGTGATTGGCTACTTATCAGCAAATCACTTTTTTTGTGATAATACTGTTTTCTTCCTAGTTGTACCTTGAAATGTTAGTTAAGCATCTTAGGGCTAATCACTGTTCTCTCAAAGAGTCAAAATGGTGAAACATCGGTTTTTACAAAGTTCACTGTTAAATATGAAATCTGAACTCTTCATAACAGCTTTTACCTTGAAGATTCTTTACCAACATTACTTGCAGCTATTGGAAAAGAACAAGGTCTCGAGAGGCGGGAATTCCTCAAAAGTAGCCAATCAGAGGCGGTCAACTTTCTCAGATTGGTTGAAGAAGTTAACATGAATGCACAGAAATGGGTCCAAATGCAAGTAAAGGAGGCTCTACTGGAACGCAAAAAAGCAAACCAGACTCGTATAAGTATTTGTTATGTGTGCACATACAGCATAATTCTGAATTCTTAGAAAATATCTCCCCAATCTTAAGGCTTTTTTGGTCCAGATTATATATTT